TACCCTACATATATATTTATATATATTTAGTGGATAGATTTTTATTAATTAATATAAATTATTATTTTAGATTAATTAAAATTAATATATTTTTATTAAAAATATATATAAGTTAATATATACTTTTATAAGAAAAACCTAAATATACAATATAAGAATAAAAAAGCTAAAAAATAAATTTTGATTTATATATATGTATATTTAAAAGTTACAGGTATGAAAATTACCCATACTCATTAAATACTTGTAAGGATAAGGATAGATTTAAAAAAACTTTGAGTACGGGTAAAGAGATAGATATAATATAAAAATTTAAGGATGATAATAGGAAATACTCTATCTTTCTCATACCTTACCCAGTAACTTCCCTATTTATACAAGTAACAACACTGAGGAAAATGAACATAACTATAGGGAAATACTATAAAAAATTCACCTTAGACAAACGTAGTCTTTGGTTTTATTTTTGATATGAAGCAAATATGTATGTGTATTTAAAATAATTCTTAAATGTCTGTCATTATTTCTTAAAATGGACAAATAAATTTTTTAAACATAATCATATTAATTCCGAATCCCATACCAATATGCCACATCATAACACATAATAATTTTTTTTATGCAAAGAAAAGAAAAAAAATATATAGAGCTGATAATATACCACACCCTCAACTCTATCCCAACTCAATAACTTGCTAATTTTTTATTATACATCCAATGAAACACTAAACACCATTGATCATTTTTGTACTAAATGTTTAAATGCAATCTAACATTTTTATTTGCATACATTTTGAACTCCCTTATGATCATCTATTTATATTTGTAAGTGATATTTTGAGTTTTGTTATGCTTAACTGTTTATATTCTTATCTTATCTTTTAAACTCCCAAATAGCTAACAATTTATGTTTGTGGATTTCATTTCCAACATCCTTATGATATTTTTAGCAATTTTTTTATGCATGTTATGTTCTATTTACATTAATAATTGAATAAATATTTTTTATATTGAAAAAACTCGACTCTGGGTGAAGCTGGGAATGATTTCTAGTACATATATATAGTTACAAAATAGAATTGGAAAAGTTTTAATGTACTAAACATGAAATGAATTTCAAATGATGAAGAACACCTTGGTTTGGCTAGATTCCTAATTCAACAATAAAATGTAATGCTTTTTGTGTGAATAGCTTAACCAAAAGTGAAGCGTATGCAAGAACAATGGTGGTAGTAATTTTATTTTTATCAAAAGCCAGATATTCATAAGATGATTTATTATTATTATTACTGTTTAATAAACTGGATAAATTTTAATAAGAAAATTTTAGGTATTGAATTTTTAATTTTAAAACATTTAAATACTAAATTTATGATATAAAAATTATTTGGTATGCTATTAAAATTAAATGTTTAATCAACTTTTTGTTATTTTTTATAAAATAAAGATACAATTTCATAACTATTTTTAATTGGTAAAAGTTTTTAAAAAATAAATAGTAAAAAAAAAAGAATATAAGATTAACGGAATTATATAAATTTTCTTAAATAAAATTTACTTAATACCCTTTTTAATTAAAAATCTTTCATTAAATGATTTCTTAAAATGATTTATCAAATATGTTGGAAAAAATCAATCGAGAATGGATTAATTTACTTAGTTTAAGTATTATACTTTTTTTATTATTGGATCAAAATTAAATTCATAAAATTTATTTTTAGTCATTTTGATTCATGAATTAAAAAAGTAAAAAATATTTATATTAGTATAAGTGAATCCTTACTCAAATCAATGATTTAAAAATTTTTAATAATTTGGAAATTTTCAATAATTTTTCGTAAATTTTTATACAAAATTTATTTTTAAACAATATTAAAACATTTTCTTGAAGTCTAACTCAAGTGGTAAAGGTGAAAGGAGAAGTGTTAAGTCAAATAGATTTAAATGTGAAATTCGCGAATATCAATTAACAATACAAGCAAATTTCCTTAATTGTGACTATCATTTTATACAAACGAGATTAGAATATTATCATATTAATTTATTAATTTTTAAATATATTGTAGTGGAATATGTTACAATTCTTTAAGCTCATTAGTGAAATTTAAAAACTTCACGGTATCTGAAATAATTTTTATTGGCTTATATTTGTCAATTAAATATGGTGTTAATGCAAAAATTAAATCAAGTATGGTATTATAGGTTTTGCAGATATTCAAACTTCAAAAATAATTTTGTTTATTAAATCAATCTAAGGATGAAAATGAATAGTAAATAAATGGATATCCCCTTATTATTCGATATATTTGCGTTAGATTCAAATAGTTATAAACTAATAATTGATGAATTTAATAAAAATTTATTATTCGTAACGGATTCAAATAGAATAATGATAATATCTCTAAATACCCAATCTCCGATCCATATGTTTTAGTAAATAATAATGTATATTCGAATAAATAACCGAATCAATTATCCGTTTACATATGTAAAATATGTAAATTTATACTTAGTGAAAGGTTTCGAATCTTAATAAATATATTTTATTTGTTATTAATTAAGAGTGAACTTAAATTTTGATTTTAATTTATTTTATATTTTGATAAAAATTTTAAATAAACAAATTTTTTAATGTATTTATTTAAAAAATTTAAATAATAATATTAAATTTAAATAAATATTTAAACAAGTTCAAATACTATAAATATTAAACAAATTTAGATACTGATATTGATATATGTTCTGTTACCATCTCTAAATCAACAACTGGACCAAAAATTCATGATCCAAAACAAAACTGCACAGCACATAAAAACAATTCCCTCATTAAAAAAAAAAAAAGATGATGAGGCTTTAGCCTAGCTTGATTGTTATTGTAATAACAATTGCCACACTGGAAAGGCAGAAGAAAGACATAAAATGTTTTATGAATTGTTTTGCAGGCCTTTTAGGTCAATGACCCTATAATTGCTTGGGTGATTCAATGAAAGATAAAAAGGGCCAGACCCCAAAGACACAGTGCATCAAAATCAAAGTCTCTAGATTTCAAACGTTCTCAGATTGAGGTTTATGATGGTATTTTTGGTAAGGTGACGGGGTGCTTTGATGTAAGCTTGCTGGGAAGCTGATTAGGAGGCTGGTGTTACCTGCAAGAGAACTAATAATGGAGAGTTGGGGGCGTCGAAGGTATGATTACAAGATATGTTTCGACGTTCAAATTAATTAAGTGTAGCAGGTAGGAGATGGAGAAAAGAAAGAGAAGGTTGAAGAAATTGAATGTGAGTGGAATGGTTAAATCGAGGTATTTGTGTCTCAATTTTACTTTTTATAAAATGAATTGATAAAATGAATTGATATTAAAATAGTTAGTTAATAATTTATCTGTATTGATGCGATCAGTTGATTTTTTTAATATTGATTAAAATAATTTGTATTGACGTGATCAATTAATTTATTCGATATTGATTAAGATCTAATTTAATATTTTTATTTATCCAATTTATGTTAAACAATAAAAAATATAATTTTTCAGTTTAAAATCCTATTTTTCAACCTAAATTAAAAAGTTAATTAAGATTTTTATGGTAAAAAAACGCTTATGGAATAAAAAATTATTATATTATCTACTATTTTAATATTTTATACATATATTTTAAAAAAATTTTAATTAATAAAAATATTTTTCACAACAATTATTAAACACTTACAACTTTTACTTATATTTTATATCATATTTTTCATTTTTTCTTTAAATCGTAGCAACAAAGCTTAAGTAATCCTTTTTAAGAACCGGACCAACACAACTAGTCGCCATCTTGGCGGTCAATGAACGTGGACTTGACCCGACAGTTAAAAACATTGACTTAGCAATCAAGATAAAAATGTTTTTAAGTGAAAATGGAAGTTTTTTTTTTTTTGTTTTTAAGATAAAATCTTAAGGTAAATAAATTATTCAGTCTTTTAGATTAGAATAAGATATGTTATATCTGATAATTTAAGATAAGTAACTGTAAATCGTATATTCGAAATAACTCCAACAAATAACTAATGACACAACTCAAATTTAAGATCTTTTCATCGAAAAAGATGAACTTAACCAATTAAATTAACCACTTATCGGTGAAAATAGAAGTTGACTTTACGATAATAGTGAGGAAAATGTTATGACCATGGCTTGTTATTAAAGTCCCTTTTTTTTTTGTTTTTAAGATAAAATCTTAAGGTAAATAAATTATTCAATCTTTTAGATTAGGATAAGATATGTTATATCTGATAATCTAAGATAAGTAACTGTAAATCGTATATTCGAAATAACTCCAACAAATGACTAACGACAAAACTCAAATTCAAAATCTTTTCATCGAAAAAGATGAACTTAACCGATTAAATTAACCACTTATCGGTGAAAATAGAAGTTGACTTTACGGTAATAGTGAGGAAAATGTTATGACCATGGCTTGTTATTAAGGTCCCCTTTTATCTCTCTACTTTGACCATTGCCTCAAATTAGTGTGAAAGATCCAGCATCCAGTATAATTGATGAAGCTTTTGCACCAGCTTGATAACAAATCAATTGACTCCCCTTCTACACAACTATTACAGTTTTTCACCAAAAGGGTATTCTGAAATTGTTGCCATATTCAAGTATAGCTCAACCTATCATATAGCAAACATGCAAAAGGAACAAATACAGATAAAAGAGAGAAATAAAGCAAGAACTTTTAAATCTGATTCACGTCCAAAAAGGAAGAGATGGATAAAAAACAAGAGAAAATGACACATTACACAACAAGAAAACTTAATGACCTCTTAAAACAAATTATCTAAATGGTTATAAAAATTGACTCAGCTGCCAGAAATAAAACTTTGCCAGTTCTGTTAGTAACTGTTGTCAAAAGTTAGTCACACTTTAAGATGTAAATCAGTAATCCAAAGAGTGTAACATCCCACCAAATGCCAAGCAAATGCTGTAAAAATCACATCTTTTTTTTTTTTTCACCTTTTTTTCACCCCCATAAGGATACCAAACTTTCCCATGAAGGGATTATCCACACTTCATAGAACACAACTCCAATCATCTATTTCTCTATTTCCTTTTCTCAGTAAGAGAAACACAATATTTATGGATTAATGAAACACTATTTCCTATTTTGCTATCTGCTAGAACTTGTTTTGCATCAGGATCTTAGCCTGACTTCAATGATTCTGACTCTTACCTTTCTTTGATTTGCTCTTCTCTTGCATCTTCTTTTTCTTTTCTTCAGCTGTAATCCAAGTATAATCTGGAGGTATTGCAAATGGATCTGGAAGATTTTCTATCTTATTGTAGCTATAATTGGATGAGCTAGGGCGGTGATATGGTGCCTTTATCCACTGAAACCAAGATGAACCTAAGGAATGTGTCACTGCAGGGCTTTCTCCGCCGGCAGTGGGGCTTGAAGGGGGTGTCAAGAACTCATCCACAGGCTGTAGTTCTTCAAACTTCGTAAAAGTAACCATTACTCTGATTGTTGGAACCACTGGAATAGCAACCTAAGTGCAACCATGAGAATTTCTTAGTAAAATGTTAAAACATAATCAACGAAACGAGACAAATATTATTTGTCATTGAGCTTAACCATGTGCATGTGTTTCAGACAGTAGCTGAGCTAAATTATACATAACAAGTCTGGATATGCACTCCTCACCAACTAGGTGTCCTTTTTGTTTCAATTAAAAACAAAGGACTAAAGGAACAAACCAATCTATCATGATACCTACAAGAAGGAATAAAATCTCAAATGTAAAAGATAAACAGAAAACCTCCAGAGAATTTTCATGCACATAATTTTCTTGGATTTCCCAATCATTACTGGATGACTACAGCAATGACTAGCATTTCGTGCACATAACCACCATCCCCATTTTTCTCTTTTATTTTTTGCAGAGAGCCCAAATACCAACTGGCACCATTAAAATGAAAGAACGTAAGTACACCTCCATTTGATCTGGCAAATCTATACATCAATAGATGGAAGGAAAGAACTGGATCTTATGCCGGGCACATAAATACCAAAATCCTGGTCTTAAACCCTAAAGAAGTCAAGTATAAGCCCAATGTGGCTTCTATAAGATTAAATGGATTACAACGTCTTAATTTAGAAAAGCATATATTTTTCATGATAATTCACTAAAAGCTCTAATATAAGGGATCAAAAATTTGGGTAATAAGCAAGCCTTAAAAGGCCATACAAAAAATCATTTACAATTGTATAGGTCATCACTCTACGATTTCAAAAACCTATACTTCCCATACCATAGATTCCTCTAGATGGAAATGTCTTCACACAATTGACAAGTGGCGAGACCAAACAATCATAAGAGAAAGCAGAAAAAAATTGGTCCATAAAACATGTGCATTATGGGAATCAACATAAATCTGAACAATAAAGATAAATAACGTTAAAAAAAAAAAAGGAACATAGAGCTCAATACAAAAGCTGCAAAAAGGAATAGCAATGATAACAAGATCCAATCAGACAGGGAAAGAACAACAAACCTTGACAGGGAATGTTCCTACTGGAAGCTTTGTAGTGAGAAGTTCTCTTAACCGACGAATTGCCTTAACCTTGTTTGCAAGAATGTCTAGCAATGGCAGGAGTTCTTCAGTTTGCAATGGGAAGTTTGGAGAAAGCCAAAGAATAGGCCTCAATCCTTTCTTATACTCATTCTCACGGCCAGTGTCCTTACGCCGATTACTACTCTCTGAACCCATGGAAGTAGATATTCTCGAATCTCTTATCCTCCGATGATCATCCCTTGCCACAATCTCCACAGAATGTCTACCAGGTTTGATCTGACTGCCAGATGGAAAGTCTCCTAGTAAGTCACTCACCTTTTCATCCACACACAGAGAACTTCTTGGTGGTACAATCTTCCGATGCACTTCTTGCTTTGACTCCCGTTTCCTCCATCCACCAAACCATCCTTTCTTTTCCTGCTTTGTCTCTCCATTTTTATAACCATTGGACTCCTCGATATAAATTTCCCTAGACTCATAGCAACTACGGCGATGCCTAATAATGCCATCACCATTCTCATTGGATATTTCTGAAGAATCCAACTTAAGAGCAACTTCAAGTTGTCTCCTTTCATCTTCTGTCAAGATCTCATCAAGCTCTTCACTCTCTGTTTCAATTTCATTGGAAGTTGCAAAGAATTCATCATCTGTCATGGCCCCAGGCACCTTCCTAGATTTGATGCTTACAACAACACTGTGCATATCATACACCTTAGCCTTCCAGGCACCAACTGTTTCTGTTTTCTCTTGTCGCCTCCAAGTCAATTGTGGCAAAAGAACTGCCTGTGTCACATCTATCCCAGGTCTGAATATATTAGTCTGAGACATTGCATCCACCTCTTGTCGAACCTCTTCCTCAGTTGCTTGGGAACCAGCACCATCCAAAGCATTCATCACCTCTTTATCCTTATGTGAGATCATACAAAGTGATCCAGTAGGAACCTTCCCGTCCCCAGAACCATCACCAAGGAAAAGAATACTCTGATCTGAGCGCTGAATTCTGAATCCATCAAATCCAGCCAAAGTCATATCAGCTCTCAAATTTGCACCCCTCTTCCAAATTTTATACGTATCTGAAGGAGCAATTCTGGAAATGAAAGGTATCACAGAACTCTCAAAATGGAATGTGATTTCCATGTAAAAGTCTCTCATCCTTTGCATAGTTCCCACCACACGAGGCAACCTTCTACACCACTTTGCCCATGCCAATGGCTGGTAATGCCGAACAATAATCATAGCAATAGCTTCTTCCCTATTACAAATTGCTTCTTGGAGCGCACTCCATCCTTGTTCATTCTGCAAGCTCCAATCAGCACCGGCAACCATAAGCATTTCAGTTGCAGTTTCATCACCAAGTTTAACGGCCAAGTGAAGAGGTGTATCCCGGTTAAGAACATCCCGCCTATCAATCACAGCAGCGATCCCATCAGCCTTCTCTTCCTCAACCAATGAGGCTGCTTCTGTTCGAATCTCAGCCAGGTTACGAAGATGTGGGAGAGCTGCAAGTATCCTCCTGAGACTGGCATAATCCCTCGTGGCAACAGCCTTGTGCACAGGGCTATGTGCATACTTTGAAACATCAATACCAGCCATGCCTCAGGAGTTAAAATATGCTGTCAAACTCAAGTCTAGCTTTTCCAATTAAACCCCAATTTCAATCCTTCAACACTAAAACTCAATTTTAACTCAAAAGCCCCAACAATGCAAGACAGCAGAAGTAGACAATTCCTCCCTACGGACCAACAATTTCTAACATATGAAAAAGGAAAAAAAAAAAACAAAACCAAAACAATTCATAACATTTGACTAGAATAAGCAGTACATTGCAATTTTGGCCAAAAACCAATCAAACACAATTCAAATTCCCACATGGAAATACAATATTAAACAATTATTATAACTCACACAACAGAAACAAGAAGGGAAAACAAAAAGAATCTTCTTTGGGGGACCCAAAATAGAGATACAAAAAATAGGATGATAGGAAAAAAAATCTCACCTGGTTCCTTCGTTCTTCTTTTCTTCTAAGCACCCAAAGACTGCTCCCAACAAAGAACAGAATTTTCAAACACTTAACCCCACTAAAGACCCCTCCCCTCCTCTTTCTCACTTAATCTTCTTCAAAGCCGAAAATAAAAGAACCTTGTGATCCAATCCAGATCAGACAAACTGGAGAACATGCATGTGCGTGTGTGAAACAAAATAATTATAAAAAAAAAAAAACTTAAGAAAAAAAATGATGGGCTTAGAATTGAAGAAAAGAATAGCTCTACAAGAAACTAAACAAAACCCCACCTTTCAAGAAAACCCAACAACAAAAAGTGCTTATAAAGGAAAAAAAAAAAAGGAGAAGTACCCAAGTTTCTCCTTTTCATAAAGAGTTGAAGAATGGTTTTTTGAAAAGGTCAAATTTTTAAAATGGGAATTTTGTGTATGTGATTGGAAGTTTAGTTTGGGGTAGGAGGGAGACCAATGGAGAAAAGAACAGAGAAAATTCAACTTTTGTTTTTTTTTTTTTTTTTGGTTTTGTTTTGAAAGGATAACATTAAGAAGAGTGAGAAAAAGAGGGTCCAATATGGGAAGGCTGCATGTGAGCCAGGAAAATATGGGAACTTTGCTTATTTATTTCCTTTTTTTAATTTATTTTTTCTTTTAAAATAATTTAATTTAATGTGATTATTAAAGTTACTTTTAATTCAATTACTTACTATGATTGGTTAGAGAAAATAATTATTTTTAACAAATTGGCTTAATTAATTCAAAAACTGCCAAATTAGGGAAATTAATTATTTTTTAAAGATGGGTTAGCCCACAGGCAGCTACTGCTTTCAATGTTGTATAGCATGTTGGCTCATTGTCAGAGTTTTTGACCCCACCCATTCACTTTACCCAGTTTTCTGGAATATTTTTTGGATTCCATTCCTCCTTTACCCATTTTTTTCTTTTATTTATTTCAAATTTTATTTAAATGCATCATAAAATTAATTTGAGTGAGATTAAAAAAATAATAATAATAAAATTAAAATTAGTTGTACGATATATATTTAGATATGAAAGTAATAATGATAATAAATTATATTAGAATGAGAAAAAAATTATCATAAAGGAAATTAAATTAAAAGTTTTATATAATAAAATTTTAAATTATTTAATATTTATAAAATTTATTAATAAATAATAAAATTAATTCAAAAATATTTATTCATGATTAAATAATAAATTTTTATTTATTATAGTAAATTATTGAATTTATTTTACAATTTTTAAATAAAAAATTAGAAAGACAACAAAAGCTTCAATGACATTTTAGACATAATAATAAAACTTAAAGGATAAAAATAAAAAAAATATCTCACTAGCCGATCATTAAGTAGACCAAAAAAATCAGTCAATGACTAGTTATTTTTGAATCGTATTGTTATCACATTTGAAAACAAAAGTTGCAATTGACAAAATTTTTTATTGCAATTGCACCACCAATAAGGGTGCTTGGGGGTGCATTGCAATTTGAATGATGCTTAAGACATCAATTGAATGGTTGGTGAAAAGATTTTTCGCTATGATGTTTTATGAGAATTTGGTCATAAAATGGCAATTGCATTTTTTTTTATTTTTGATCAAAATTTTTAAGGTTTGATTTAAACGTGTAATGAAAATACACTTATCATATTGTAAGTGTGATTTTATGAGGTACTATTGGAATATACTCTCCAAAATGAATGGATGCATATTCCATAGAGACAAATAACTACAAATGATAGTTATGTATAGCATGCATCTTAGTTTGTGACAAAACAAAGAAAAGCTACCTTAAAATAGTTGATAATGTTTGAATTTGGATTCAAACATTAACCACAAACTGCCATGGCCTTTCACTTGTTTTCCTATGTATAAAACAATCAACCATATGAATAAAATGATGAAAAAATGATGTTAAATCATGACAAATTGAGATGTACTCTTTTTTTTCCTTTGGCATGTCATTTGGTCACAATGAGCTACAATTAAAGGTTGAAATATGTTCATGCATAACACAAAATAAGTCTTATTCATACGAAAATATGTGATAAGTTGCATAAAAAGAAAGAGAATGAGTAATTGGAAAAAGTAAAGGAAAAAGAATCCCTTACAAACTCTCAGAGGAATCTTTTCTTTTAGTGTTTAAGAATTTATAGTGTAAATAGTGAACAATTTTTGAATGTGTGATCATTTTCCTAATTAATGGATCAAATTGGTGATTTTCTGCAACACTTTCGTTGTACTTTTGCAAACAAAGTAAGTCTTCTATATATTTATGTATAAGATCATGTTTATATTATTTTTCATTGGTATCAGAGCCATAAAGCCTTAATTCCATATTGTTTTGTTGTTTTCTTGAAACACCAAAACACATTCGAAAATCTACAAAAGAAATACACAAAAATCATGTAATTTTGTTAAGAAAGGTATTGTAAATGTTTTAGAATATTCAAACACAAGTTGTCAATGTAGTTTGGATTATTTTGAATCAATTTTTCATTTTTTTAAACTTAAGCATTCGAATGCTTGATAAGACATTTGATTGCCCTAATCAAAATTTAAATTTTAACAATGATTTTTAAATAGGCATTCGAATACCTATATTATAACATTCGAATTACCTTTCATTTTTTCAAAACAAAATGGTAAAATTGACAATGCATTCAAATACCTTCTCAGAGCATTCAAATGTTTTACATGATTTTCAAACGAATTGAAAAATAAAGAAAGCAATCAGTTGCCTATTATAGTACTCGCTTCCCTATAACATTTTTTTTAAATGATAAAATTTTTAAATTTTTTGATAATCCTTGATTGACTTTAGGAGTATAAATGATAAAATAATGATTAAAACGTGTTTTAATTATTATAAAACTTGTGTAAATTGTATTTGTGAAATTCTTTTATATATGTTACAAAAATATTCAATGATTGTGAGAACTCATAGTATTGTAAGAACTTAGATGCAATTGCTTATAGTCATAAAGCTACTAATTAAGTTAGCGCAATATTGAATGGATCCAAATGATGATGATATTGTGAGACATATCATCAGAGTTAATGACAAAAATTAAAGAGTTCATCTTGTGTGACAACATCCATATAAAGAGAATCTAAAAATATACATGATTTTGAATAAATGCATTCCTTAATAAAATCATTTTTGGAGATCATTGGATATCTAATGAGAGAAAACATCCTAATGTTCTAACTTTGATAAAAAAAAATTATTAATATGTGAGAAAAGAGCAAGGAGGATTACAACTATTTATAATGCAAGTCTCAATAGTGAAAAGCACAAAAATTTTGAAATTTTATAGATGACTAATAAGAATGTAAAACTATCAAAGAATTTATGGATTCGATTTAACCACTAGATAAGTGATACATATTAATTGGAACATAGTTCAAATAAACCCTTTGTATGTTTAATGATGAAACTTGTTTTTGTGTTTAGTATGTACATGCTTTGTGGGACTTATTTATGTAAATTCAATCAATGTATGTTATTGATTGAAAGTAACTTTACGGTTAGTGAGAGTTTTAAGGTATTAATAAATTAGTTACCTTATAATGATAAAATTTATAGAATAAGTGATAATTAAACATATTAAAAATAAATTTTGATTGCTAATATAGTGACTTTTTTATTTCATTTTTATGTGAATGATGCCCTTTATTTTATTTGTGACATTGTGACAAAATATATGTAATGCTAGGTAATTAATTCGTGCATAGATCTTTAATTTAAATTATCCTTTAAAAATAACTTTTGCATTTAAGTACATAGTTACCAAAAGAGAATAATTATAAACTCTAGAGTATGAAAATCCAATATGTGTTAGAAGAATAAAAAGTGCTTAAAATTCTAAACATTATTCTAATGGAGCTTAAGTATAGAAATATATCATAACATAGAAGGGACTAATGACTTATGAATGAAGCTTGCAAAGAGAAAAGGCAACCGACCATTTGAATTAAATGATGAAAAAATGTAAAATCATAACAAACAAAGACATAATCTTCCTTTTTCTTTGGCATAACATTCGGCCATGATGAGATAAATTAAAAGTTGAAATATATTCATCTAGAACATGAGATAAGTCTCATTCACGTGAAAATATGTGATAAGTCACAAAAAAAGAAAGCAAAAAGTAATTGGAAAAAGCAAAGGAATAGGAATTCCTTGCTAACTCTAAGAGGAATCTTTAGCTTTGATGTTTAGTGGTAGATAGTGAATAATTTTTGAATACATGATCTTGTTCTCAACCAATTAATCAAGTCAACAATCTTTTGTAACATTTCTATTATATTTTCACAAGTCAAATAAATTTTTTGCATATATTTATTTATATGATCATGTTCATATTATCCATCAAGCATTGATCATAAAACATTTACATATGGTAACAATCCCTCTAACATGCATCCAAAACAAGCTTCAGTTATGCCTTTTTTTTTTCTTTTTTTTTCTAAATTCTTAATAAAAGTTATTCTATTAAATTTTTTATAAAATAATTATTCTATTATGAAGCAAAAAGAAATTATCTTCTTATACAAAAATGATAATCATTAAATTTACTATACAACTTATATGAATTAATTTAATAATTTATCATTATTAAAATTATGTCACATTAGAAAATTGATTAATTGAAAATTTCAAAAACTCAAACTGTTAGAATCTAAAATTATCAATATAAATATTTTAAATATAAATTTTGATAAAGATAGGAGAGAGTTGTTATTTTTTTAGTAACTCAATTTCAAAGAGTTTGTTCTCAAAATATTTTGATGAAAAATCTCATACACCTATTTATTTTATTTTATGGTGGGTGAATGGTAACAAATATAAATATTTTTTGAGTTTATATTTGATATATTATTAGTGTATAAATCTTATATACCGTCAACGAATCAAATAATAATATTTCATTAACGAATAAATATATAAAATTAATTTTTTTTTAAAAATTTATTCATTAATGTCGAATTATTATCCAATTCATCTCATTAATAAAATATTATTATTTATTTATTAATAATATATAAAATCTATACCCGATAATGTATAAATATAAATTATTTTTAGAATGGAAAATCATGTTAGGATATATTTTCACAACCATAGTAAATGGTAAACTATGATGGCCACTATTGGAGCAATGAATTCCATCATTTTTTATCCAATTCTTTCTTGAGGCAATTAGATGACAAATCTCAATGATTTTGTTCCCCCTTAAATAGCTTGCTTTTTTTTTTTTTTTTAACTTTTTACCCTTTGTTAAAGCTCTTTTTAATTATATTACTAACCAAAACCTTCTTTGGTTGGTTCTCTTCCAACAATATGCTGTTGATAAATTTGTTCTTTTTAACTCTAGGACCCTACATGTAACTAAAAATTGTGGATTTTTGAAGGCATGGCCATGATGAAGATGACAAAAAGTAAAGCATGCATGAGAAACAAATGCTTCTTGCCATTGCAATTTTCAATGAGATTATGGGAAAATTTCCTATTCATCTAGAG